CAGTGCAGGCTTTTACCACAGAGTCACGGCTTCTTAGGGAGCTGCCACCCGCTCCAGCATGGGTCTTTCCATGGACTTCAGATGCGTCTCTACTTCGTCGCATGTCCCATTCTCTACGCCCTCCCTCAGGCTCAGCCATCTCCACTCCTGCGTGGGCTTCTCCCCGGGCTGCAGTGGGTCTGTGCCCCACTGAGTCTGCCCCGGCTGCAGAGGGGTCACTGCCCCTCACCGCAGGCTGAGGGCAATTGCTGCTCCGGCACCTCCTCCCACTCCATCCACACTGACCGGCGTCTGTGCGGCTGTTTCTCTCGGATCACAGCCCTCTCTGGGTGAACTCGGGCCAGCGGCACCCGGGCACAGGACGCTCCCGAGCTCTCTAAGTGGCCCCGCCGCGACCATCTCCAGGCGGTGGCACCGGCCCGGCGTGGGCAGTCCTGCCCGGAGGCTGAGGAGTGGGGCAGCCCCTCTCTTCACTGCAGGTCCGGAGCACGTTTTCCAGCTCCTTTGTCCCCGACTTAAATCGGTCATTCGCAGAGGCGCTGACGGCTCGGCCCCAGCTGGAGGGGATGGGGCTCCAACCTGGTCCGAGTGGTTTTAGAGCCCGGGGAGTTACAGGGGGTGCAGCCCCTTTCCTGCTACCAAAACCCCTTCACATAAACCCAGCGCATAGGAGTCTGTTGCAAAGGTGAAAGAATCAAGTCAAGTAAAATTGAGCTCTGAGACAGCGCGAGAATCACTATGATGTTTTTAAAACCGGAATGAAATAGTTAAGCGAAGCGCAGTAGAGAAAAACAGTAGCAATAAAACCTTCCTCCAAATGGGCTACTGTTATCTTTGGGAAATGTGAAGGCTAGCGACAAAGCAATAAGGTATTACCCAAGGGTCTGACCACAGGAATAGCGAGAACAGAGCTCAGAAGGGTGCAAGGAGCACAGACATAAACCTGCAGAACATAGACATTTTGTCAACAGGCTCCTGTGGTTCTGACCTCACCTGCACTCTTAGTTTCAGGTGCTCAGGTTGTTCTTTTAACTGTGGTAGGTTTCCTTGATTACTGCTACTTGTTTTTTAACATCTGAGAAAGTGGGCTCTTCAGCTAAACATCTACGTGCAGTTTCCTGCCAAACAAACCTACGACTGTGATTTGACATGCGAAAGAAGGTATAAATGCATGAAAAAAAAAGACACTCTCACCCCTGTAATATCTTGCAATGTTAGACATGAATGCATCTCTATTGGTTGGCTGTTTAGTTGCTATATGTGAAGCAGGACCTCTCATATACCCCAAAGTCAAGACAACCAAATTTAATCCTGAATGAGATAATACATATGAAGAAGAATAGCATAGCATAGCATAGCGTAAGCACAGAACAGTTCAGCTGGATGGGACCTACAACAATCACGTCCAATAGGCCTGATCACTTCAGGGCTCACCAAAAGTTAAAGCATGTTACTAAGGGCATTGTCCAAATGCCTCTTAAACACTGACATGGCATGGGTCACCAACCACCTCTCAAGGAAGCCTGTTCCAGTGTTTGATCACCTTCTCAGTAAATAAATGTTTCCTAGTGTCAAGTCTGAAACTCCCTTGATGCAGCTTTGAACTGTTCCCATGCGTCCTATCACTGGATATCAGGGAGAAGAGGCCAGCACCCCGGTCTCCACTTCCCCTCCTCAGGAAACTTCAGAGAGCACAGGTCCAAGAGTCAGTGCCCATGGTAGAAAAGTTATCTTCCAGGGATTAGGGAGGTATTTATGACTGTCAAAAAATTAAGTGTACATTGATATAGCATAAATGGTAGATGAAAAGCATTCTCAGTACCTGGATGAAAGCGACAAAGATACGATTTTGGAACAAGCTGGTGTCTAATGTGTGAAGTCAGATAAATTTGTAGTCCTGTCAGAGCTCATAAACCTTTGGAGCCAGCTAGGTTCTGTCTTGCTGTCATCTGCACTGATGCCAGCAGTGTTGCAGCTGCACGGCACTGCACCAAACCAAGCGCTCTCAGAAAGGAGACTGCTGGGAGACCAGTTGCAGCAGCTCTGCACGACAGTCGCTCAGGTACAGCAGAGCTGGTTCTCTGAAGTTGTGCTCCATCATAACGCAGGTTCAGGAGATAAGCTGATCACAGGAGAGTATCCGTGCTCACGACTCAAACTAACAACTTTTTCTAGCCCTGAGTAAACCACTACTGAGAAACATCTGAACTGCCTGAAACCAGGGTTTATCTGAGCTTCAAACTAGAAAATCCATCCAGGATAATAAATAGATGTTAATGAACACTACTGAAGGCCCCAGCTTATGTTTGGTACAGTCCTTAACTTGAAGAAATTGCGATCTAAATGAAAGAGACAAGCAACAGGTGGATGGATCAGGACTATTATTAACCTTGTTTCATAAATAGAAAAGAAAAATACGAAGAGACTCGAAGCCTGGTTATAATTTACACTGTATTCTACCATTGTTATAGAGAACAAGAACATGAGACTCACGCTATGAAGAGGCCTAAAAAGTCTCCCAAGAAGCTAGGGAAATAAACTCAAGTTCATTGTCCCAATTGTAAATGCCTCATTCATATGTGGATAAAACCAACACAGGTGATGCCAGTAAAGAAAGTAAAAGAGCACTCTCACAAGCATCAATTTTTCCTTCGTAAGCTGAACCTTACCCT